CACACACACACACACACACACACACACACACACACACACACACACACACACACACACGCTTTAGAACATCTATCTATCTATCTGTCACCTCCTAGGTGGTAGAAGTCTGGTCTATCTATCTATCACCTCCTAGGTGGTAGAAGTCTGGCAGCATGAATCTCATGGACTCTCCAGATCAGTCTCAGAATAAAGCACCAAAGATGGGCTGGCAAAGGTGGCAATCAACTCCTCCCAAACTGTGCCCAAATTCCTGGGAAGAGCCGAATTAATCCAGCCCTGGATTGTAAGTGCATAGAGCTGCCCAGGTCAGAGGTGTTTTAGGTCCCAGCAATAAAAGTGATCAACTCCAGCACTGTAATTCAGTCCCAGGTTGAGTCCTGCCAACTCTGATGGATTTAAATCCATCCCCTTATTTCCCTCCCCAAGTTTTCTTATATAAATTCTCTAGCAGATTGAATCAAAAGGTCCCACTGGATCTACAGCTCTGGTGCACAGGGGTCAGGTGAGATCATATCGGATTAAAAGTAGGGGATGATTTATTTCAAGGATGTCTCTCTCCATTCAGAAGATGCCCCTGATCTGGGAAAGCCTTACTGCTTGGTGCCATCAGTTAGACCCCTCTGCAAATGTGGGGGGCATTATTTTGAGACAGCCTGGCTGCACTCCAAGTTAGAGAGACATGGGTTGGGCTGGGACCCCCTCCCCACAGTGTTTTCCCTCCTAGGAACTGCAGGATGAGGTACCCTTTCTCAGAGAAGTTTTTCCCTCTGCTCCCTGAACAGGGCAGCTGCCCGCTTTCTCCCCCTCCCTCTGTCAGACCTGGAGCCATTTCTGCTACCACTTCACATGCAACCTGCTGCCTTGGTTGCTGTGTGTGGGGCTCCACACAATTGCAAAGAAAATGAAGGGCCAGTACAGTGACTGGAGCTAAATAACAGCTGCAAGCTGACCCGGAAATATACCTGATTAACCATTGTTTAGAACAAAAATCATCAGGAATTTCTTGCCCCCGCCCCCCCCCCC